AGTCTTGTTTTTTGCCAAAAACAGGGCATGCATAGGCTTTGGGGGGCTTGTAAAGTGTTCCTGGAGGCTGGGGGGGGGGAGCAAAAACAAGGTGAAAATATGGCCCATTTTTCGCTCCTTTTTGCCCTCCCCAGCCCCCAAGAGCATTTTGCAGGCCTCCCAAACCCTCTGCACATGCATTTTTGCAAAGCGGGTGGGGTTTCGGGAGGCCAAAAGTGCTGCATTCAGTGTATAAGACGCATCCAGATTTTCACCCTATTTTTTGGCTGTGTGTGTGTGGAAAGGTGTGTCTTATACTCCGAAAAATATGGTACTTCCTGTTTCATGGGGGGGTGTTATAGCTACCAACATGTGGAATGTTTGTATCTTGGAGCATTCTGGCTTCTTTCTCATCCCTTTGTAACAAGAGAGGAAGTACTGTCAAGTTTCTGCTTATCATCTTAATACAGAATGCAATTAAGGAAAAAATCTGGAAAGCTCCCCCCCTCCCCTCACCCTCCTCAAGAGTGGCTCTATAAAACAGAATGCTACAAAGCGAAACAAAGGGAAACAGACAAGTGTCTAAAACCCAAAGGGCCTCTGCTACCTACTTCAGCCACTGGCTCCATCTCTTGCCCATGGGTGGAGACTCTCCCCAAGCCCTCAGTCGGCGTGCCCGCAGGTGAGTGGCTTTGTTGCACTAGATCGGGAAGGTTGACATGGCCAGCAAAACCATTGCTGGCTGGGTGGCCTGAGCGCTTGTGGTCACCAGAAGTCTGCAGAGACACAAGTCATATGGAAAAGAAGAGGAGGAGGAATTGCAGTAACACATAAAAAAACCCCACAACCCAAGGTTGCCATATCAACCCACACTCTTAAGGCAAGCACGGAAACATGACCCCAGCTTTTTGACGTACAACATGCAGCAAGAGGCAACTGTCGACAGAGGTGACATCAGGAGGGCATGCAACACGAAATGAATTCACAGCCCAGAGAGTTGTAGCAGCATGCTTCTACACCAGAAGAAAGGTGATTAGGATCTTCTTTTTTAAAGACCGTGAATCTCGAAATGCTGGGAATTTATACCAATGGGAAAGGCTATTGGGTAGGTGACAGGATGCAGAAGAGATAATTATAAGGACAGTGGAGTCAACATAGTTTTCATGTTTAAAGCAGTGTTTGGAAGCTGTCGATCTGGAAATGCCTACAGGTTGCATGGCAGCTGACAACCAGAGTAGAGTGCTGACTGTGGGATATAGAGCTTTCAAAGAAATGCTTGGCACAAACACAACAGCTTGATTAAGTGTCCTATCAGGATCTCGGGATTCTCGCACCACGAGAGCTGTGTCCCGACAGCGCGGTTATTGCAAGTGCAGCCTAGTGTGATACTTGCCCTCACTGCAAATTCACTGGGCTTCTTTATTGGGCCAGAGATAATTTTAGAAATAAACTGGTGGGAAAAATGGGGAAAAAAATGTGGAACTGAATGTAGTTTCATCGCAATCTGCTTGCCAACTTCTATACAGTATCTTACATTAACAGAATCCTGCAATAGAATGTGTTGACTTTATAAGAAGGCATATTAAAAGGTGCTTGACATAATTATTTGGTCTCATTCTTTACCTTTGGGTGGCGATGTTAAATTTTGACAATGCTGAACAGCCTAGATTGACTCTCCCATGGGAAATATATTAATGTCCAATATCTGCTGCATTTTCAGACTGGTAATATTAAAATTTCCTTTACAGAAGCTTTCTCCAACTACCACATTTTTCGGAGTATAAGACGCACCAAGATTTTGAAGAGGTAAATTAAAAAAAAAGTTTTTGCACTCTGCAAACCCCCCAAACCCTCTGCACGCTTCATTTTTTGTGAAAAGCGGGGCATATAGAGAGTTTGAGAGGGCTGCAAAGTGCTCCTGGGGGCTGGGCTGGGGGAGGGAAATGATCAAAAATCACAAAAACGAGCCCATTTTTTGCCAAAACAAGGGCATGCATAGTCTTTAGGAGGCTTGTAGGGTGTTCCTGGGGGCTGGGGGGGGAGGGAAATGATCAAAAATCACAAAAACGAGCCCATTTTTTGCCAAAACAAGGGCATGCATAGTCTTTAGGAGGCTTGTAGGGTGTTCCTGGGGGCTGGGGGGGGAGGGAAATGATCAAAAATCACAAAAACGAGCCCATTTTTTGCCAAAACAAGGGCATGCATAGTCTTTAGGAGGCTTGTAGGGTGTTCCTGGGGGCTGGGCTGGGGGAGGGAAATGATCAAAAATCACAAAAACGAGCCCATTTTTTGCCAAAACAAG